TCATTTGGGCCAAATCTTTTCCCCTATAGCATCTAGTATGGTGGGAAAGAAGTGTGAAGCCCAACTTGTTCAATTTTACCATTATTTTCATTGACTTGTGGCATGGTGCATTGCCTTGATCAAAGATGATTTTTGTTATTTATGTGCGGTGGGTGTTTTTACGATTTCGTCCTTCAAAAGGACCAATAACTAAAACTAATAGTCGCTATTGATAGATTTATCCTTTCCAAGGTAGTCGATGTAAATGTATCCCAAAAAACTGACGCCATTACTTTTCCAACTGACTGTTGTGTTTTTGGACTCTTCGAACAACTTTCGCCGGCTGCACGCCACTCAGCTGACAATGGTGGATCCATATTTCGTCTATTGTCACATACAATTCTGTCTATTGCGAGTAAACAGTGACTAACAGCTTTGAATCGTTCACCCGTTGTTGCTTTTGTTCTTTTGTGAATAAACACGGCACCCATTTGGAACAGACTTTTTTCATGTCCAACTTTTATTGTAAAATTGACCACGCACTTCCGGTTGATATCTTTACCATCTCAGCAATCTCACGAACCGTCACTTTGGGGTCATCCATCACGATTTTCAAAACTTATTTCATATTTTTCAGGGTGCGACCGCACTTAAAAACCGCATACCACCGGAAAATTGTTTGCCTTCGAGGAAGGAGAGGCTGGATAACATTTTTGAATCCATTTCTGAGCTTGCACAGTGTTTTTCCCATCAAATGACAATGTTTTAACAACACACCAAATTCGTGTTTGTCCATTTTTTTCACAACGGCACAAATAGCGTCACTTTCACCCAGGCTTTCACCACACTATCTTTTCTGTTTATGGTCCCATGGTCGATATTATAACGCCATTTCTGGGTCTAACCGTTAGACCCATCGATATATATATATAAATCGACTGCGTGTCCCAATGCTAAGCGCGGATACTGCAGATGAGCGAGAAGGAAAAACTAAGAGGCAAGATATTTCTCTCTATGGCGCTTCTGTTGTAGGTCGCATGCAATCGACATTGCTGTGACTGTGCCGTCAACACAGGCGCGATAGAGAGAGAGTTAGTTTTCTCCTCTCGCTCACCTGCAGTATGCGCGCTTAGCATTCACACGCGCAGTCCATTTCTACATGTAGATGGATAGACCCGGGACTTATTAAACGATATATTATTGTGCGTCGCTAACTAAATAAAACATGCATTCGTTTGTATTGGCTATCTCTTAATGACTTAATGATAGTGAACTAATGATAATGATTGTATAAACCCACCATTAGACTTCCATCCCCTAACAAACAAATTATCCTCCTTCAGATTCTTTTCCCACAAACTTGTAAACCTCTCCATCAACCCAACCAATATCTTCTACCGCGGGTAGTTTCGTTTTGGCGCAAGTGTTTTGGCGCGAGCGGTTTGGCGCGAACGTTTTGGCGCAGAATTGTTTTGGCGCAAGCCGCTTATATTAGTTACTGTTACAACACCTAATAACAATTTCACCCTCAATTTTATATTGGTTCAATTTTACGTATGATTAATAATAACGATGTGGATATTGACTCCTTAAGCTTTAATAAATGTCTAATAAATTTACATTTGACTAACTTTGGATTCATATTTATGATTTATGTGAAAAGTTCATCAGCTTAATGGGGGGTTAAATGAGGAACCTAAAATTAGCTAATGAGGCTGATGTCGTTATGTATATTTAAAATTTTTTGATTTTAATACAAAATTAAAAATGAATTACATTACATTACAATTAACTAATGACAATCAGCTACTCATTATACACTAAAAACCTATTATCGTAAGTATAACTGCATTCCCGTTAATGGGACTATTGCAAATCCATTAGTAATTAAGTACACTATAGTTACCTATTTAAGAAGTGCATCAATCCTTTTCAGATTTAGTCTGATCTTTTGATTACTTGTGTGGTCATTATGTCGGGTATTTGTTCTAAACGCGGCAAAACGAAGTTTATTCACGATGGCTTTTCATATATTTTTGACCGAGAAAGTGCTGACGGAGAGAAAGTGTTTTGGAGGTGTGAAAATAAAAACATTTGTAAATCAAGAATTCACACAATGCAAGAACGTGTGGTAAAAGTACTTCACAATCATTCGCACGACAGCTCAGCAGCAAAAATTGAGGTGGATAAAGCTGTTACCACAATTAAGAGAAGAGCGGAATCTACCTGTGAAAGTACACTTCAGTTGGTAAATCACGGAGTCGCTGATTTATCCCAAGCAGCACAAGGGAAATTTCCAAAGTACGCAAACATTAAACAAATAATTCGGAGAAAAAGAAGAGCAATTGCTGCAGTTCCTGCCAATCCACTAAATCTAGAGGATTTGGCAATTCCTGACAACTACAAATTGTACATCAATTCTCAAAATAGAGAAGAAAACTCTTTGTTGGGCGACAGCGGTCCAGGACGCAATCGAATTTTAATATTTGGACGAAAGCAGCGTTTAATGTTGTTACAAGAAAGTGAAAAGTGGTTCATAGATGGAACATTTAGAATCGCTCCTCCATTATTTGCACAAGTTTTTGTGATTTTGGTAGAAAAAAACGGCGGTGTGCATCCATTAATATATGCTGTGCTGCCTAACAAACAACAGGAAACTTACCAGCGGCTGTTTCAGTTATTAAATGAGATGGTACCTCAATTGGGACCCAACTATATATCCTGCGATTATGAATTGGCTATTATACGAGCCATTCAGCATACATATCCAGACACTACGATATGTGGATGTTTTTTTCATTTGTGCAAAAACATGAAAAAGCATATCGGAGAACAAGGTCTGAACCGGAATTACAACAATGATGCAAATTTTGCTCTTAACGCAAAGATGATAACATCTCTTGCATTTGTCCCGATCAACGACATAGACATTGCAGTAGATGCTCTAGCTGAAGAACTACCTGAAGAATTGCAACCAATACTACAGTGGTTCGAAGATTATTACATCGGTAGAGTAAATAGAGGAAGAGCCGGCAGACGACCGCCGGTGTTCTCTCACGAAATGTGGTCTGTTTATGAGAGTATTACGAGACGACGACAGAACGAACAATTACGCCGAATCAGCCCACAGACGCCTTCAGGAAGAACTTTCAGTGGATCATCCCAGTAGCTGGAAATTCAAAAGCATAGGGATGTGTTTTATGAACAATTATAGTGGCCGGCCAAGAACCTCCACCAAAATTAAAAAAAATACAGAGACGCTGATAGACGGATAAAAACTTTAGTTGAACATTATGCAAATAGAAATGTGGTGGAATATTTGAGAGGCATTGCGCACAACTTTACCTAATTATTATTAATATACTCGAAAAACTATACTTGTAAGTTTTCTTTAACACTTTGTATGTAAGTACATAATTCATTTGTATTTTTTTATGCTGTATGTAATAAAATTTAAAACACTATAAAATGGCTCTCGTTCATCGCCCCAAAACGCATTATGAGATGATGACAGAACAAATAATCACGCTCAAGTAGCTCACAGACGACTTCAAGAAGAGCTTTCAGTAAATCATCCAAGCATATGGTAATTCATTGATTCTTTGAGGACTATTAAAAAACATAGACGTGTTTTATGAACACCTAGTTACTGGCCATGCTCCTCCTCCAAAATTGATAAGTACAGAGACATAATACATAATAAATGTATTTTGTATTGTCGTTGGTGTGTGGTGTAAGGTGTGACGCTAAAAAGCCTACGCTAAAACACTCTTGCCAAAAGATGCTTTGCGCCAAAATACTCGCACCAAAACACTTGCGCCAAAACACTCGCGCCAAAAGATACCTCGCGCCAAAATACTCGCGCCAAAACGCTCGCGCCAAAACATTACCGACCGCTTCTACCGAGTTTAACACTATTTCCAAAATTTCCCAAACCAATAAATACCCGATCAACTTGATAAGAAACCTTTCCCTTTTCCCTTATTTAGGCATTTCCAAACTCGACTGAAAAGATTGCCTTTCCACGCATTGCCCATTATAATGCACGTATGAGATCTTTAAAATCCAGTAGTTTTAACCAAAAACCTTCCTTTGCCACATCTTAAATTGTGACTATTCCATTTTAACAGACAACTTGGGGACCCTCCCTTTTTGCAATAAAAACCTCATTATAAACATTTTGGAATTTGCCAATCGAAGGTATTCAAAAATAGTTTAAAGAAAACCCCCAATTCGTTCTGCATGAAATTTTAAACCTTAATAAGCATCTCTTTTGTTCCAAGGTATTGCCGGATATTTGTACCTTTTATGTAAATACATTCTAGGAGGAAGAGTCACCTTAAATTTTAAGATTTTTCGCAAATGATCTAAAATTCGTTATGACAATCATAACCGGAGGCATAGAAGTAGTGAGTATTGAGCATTGCATTGAGCTAATTAAGTCTGTTCCTATTTTGAATACTTCAGCGTGTATCAATTAATTATACTTCCGGAACCATGAACTTCTAGATTTTTAATTTACACTCATTAAAATCGGGCTTATAATTGAAATTGGAACAGTAAATTGAGTTTAGTTTTAAGTTTTAATGTATTTACGGAATAAAATAATTAAATTAACGAATTGCACGTTGAACATTGCATGTACTCGTACTTGTGTGTTGTGCGAAGCCACGGTTTAGTAATAATATCTCAGTAGCACTGATAATGAGTTACCATATAATTTAATTTCGGTTGATTATTATTTATTATTGATTTGTTATACAAGCAACATAAATTTATATAACAATTATCCCTACTGGATGTAAATCACAACGGTCACAGACCGAATGGGAAGGACAGATCGTCTCGGTTTAGGTACGTTATTAAATTGCCTTGAGAAGGGCGGTAATTTTACACGTAATTGCCCGTTCTCCGTTGACCCAAATCGAAAAAATGATTTACGTCTAGTGCATTATCAGAATTGGCAACACTTTGAAACTCATCCAATTTTATATTGAAGTAGTAACACGATGATTTCGTACCTGATGTAGCATCACGCGTTCCTAATACCGACGAAGGTCGGGGACGTGGTCGTTCCTCTTCTAGAACAATCTCCGCCTCTGAATTGTATAGATGAAATAAACTAGCAACGCACTGTAGGCGAGCTTTTCCACCTTGAAACGTATTACCGTCGATGTCGAGTTCCAGTCCCGAAACTGTTATCTTCGGCGCACGTCGTCCTTCCACTGCGGCAGATGGATCCGAAATATAAAATAAAGAACTCTCGTTTACCTAAAACAAAAATGATTATTTCAGTTCTTACTTAAATCAAGCAACATATGGGATGAATATAGAAATTGAATAACTAAAGAACTGGGCGAATAAGAATCACAAAGGCTGTAACAATAATGAAGTCACGTTCGGATCGCTGCGCTCGCCGGTTTTGTTTCTGACAGAAAGCGCAGGAAAAGGCTTTGACCGCATGACCAAAATTAAGCTTCCATTTGTGTAAAGAAGTTAATAAACGCGCCTCCAATTAAAAAGAATAAACGTGAAACACTGTAAAAGAGAATTTATAAAGGCGTTTAATTTGCTCATTAAGCCAACCCGACAAGAAAGTTATCATTATATCACATTGTGACTTAAACGGCAGCGTAGAGTGAAAGAGAATAAAATTGATTGCCGCCATGAATTTATAAAGAACAGTTCCGATAAAAATATACAGTTTGATTTTAACAGAAATTGAAAATGTGATGTGCCCTTAAATAGAAAATATGTTAACGCAGTCATTGGATTGTGTTTGTTGCCTTTATTTTGGCAATGTGGACGTATACTTTTATGAGTACGGAAATTGATTGAATTGTTTTATATTTTGCTAGTAAATCTGAAATTGAATTGAAAGCTCTTGTGGAGATCACATTATGTTACTGCGTAGTTGAAAATTTAATTTTTTTTTCCGAATTTTCCCATTCAATTGCCTTTTCATTTTGTTTTATATATAAATAGCTGTCGGGGAAAGTTGTCAAATCAGTAAATGCAAGGTAATTAGCCTGTTGGAGTTTCTACATACATGTTAGCGATGAAATTGCTCTCCATAAAGCGTGTAATACAGATTATAATTTTAATAGGAAAGTTTGGGGAGAATTACTGTAATTCTGTTTGTTTTTTTAAGATATTGAATCAGATTCTGCTGACGAATTTTGTGACGAACAGTGAAAAAAAACTATCAACTTTTCTTATTTACGTTGTGCCTCGTTTTTCATTCCAAAACTATAATTTATTATTAAAGACCTTAGTGAATAGCGCCTGCACACAATGTAATTTTTACAATTGTTGTTTCACTTCTATAGTACGTATGAAAAAGAAAAGTACAAAGATTTTTCCAAACCTTCTCGCGCACATAAAGTAATTACCATCTATAATTACTACCACTATAGCGCTCACCTTATAGATTTTAACAATTATATTATGTAGGGACAACAGCTTAAAAAAACCTCAGAGTAATTGCCCGAGCTTAGGTTCTCCCGTCGTTTCCATGGAAACAATATTGTATTCCGTTCTTCATTTTACTTTGTGCCTGTGTTCCATTTTTAATAACTGTGACAGATGTCATTGGAATACACATTGATATGTTTCACTGTATCTACCCTTACCGTTAAACTTTACCCTTTATCCTTACCGTTAAAGAGACACTTGGCTCATTCAAACTTACTAAAGTCTCAATTTAACATCTGCTATAAAATATGTATAATCAAAATTTGGACCGCAGCGCCCCACACAGTGGGGTATTTGAATTAATTAGCTGGTCAATATGTGAATATCTCAAAGTTGAAAAACACACGAAAAATTGGTTCCGTGGCAAAGCCAATGGGTCAATGTAGGTACCTATATAGGCAGTTTCACGCAAACCGTTATCTACGTTACCATTACTAATTTAAATCTGAAAATTTGTATACCGACATAGTTTTTCATGATATATCGAAAATATAAGGATCGTTTCACGTCCGGTTTTACCGGACGTGGATAGCAACTTTCTTACTTTAAATACAACATCCTATATTTTATTGCATTTTCGAAATCTACATGAAAATCTACGTCGTTTGATACCACATTTTCCTATACCTAGCATCAAAGGTTATCAAGTTATCCAAGATATTTCAAAATTTTTGACGTTTCCTTTTGTTTAGCGCCCTGTAACTATGGCTCCGTTGACTTGAATTTCAAAAAAACTTCAAAAATCAACAATACTGACGTGATGCTACATGGGAATGATTTAAATTTTGATCGCCCTTTTACAGGGTGTTTTAAAATCAATAATGGCCAAGTTTAATAAATTCAAACAAAGGTTAATTTTTTCAAATGAAACCTGCTTTATTTTTTTGCACTTTAAAATGTGGGAAAAATTCTACATCAATCAATTATTGCATTCCCTATACCTATCTGTTTGGTTTTAATTAAGATTTTCTAAAATTTTGACCGTTATATGCATAATTTTCTTAGGAAGCCTTGAAATAAACGCGCTAGTAAATGTCTGTACCATACTGGGAAACATTACCTAGGGGAAACCCACTGGTTTCAACTTGACGGAGCGCCGGTTCATTCTACCCATGATGCTTGTTATACAGGGTGACAATTTGAAAACTTACCACCCCCCATATCTTAGTAAATAAACGAGATATTTAAAAAAATCAAAATCCGTTTCGGTAATTCGGAGGGGGAATCACAATGACATAGTTGGCGACGCACCCCCTCCAACCCCCTGCGCCCCAGCCACACCAACTTTTAAATCTTAAATAGTGACCCCCCATGTGTGATACGTCGTTGGAAAGCTCTGAAAAAATGCTTTCCAACCATACCAAATAGCATTACATTTAGGTTAGTAATTATCGTGCAAATCAAAAAATAAACATGGAAAATCGTATTTAACTTGAACTTCCAAAGCCGACTCGACAGCAACTCATTTTTGATCGCCAGTTATAATCTATTCTCAAACTCTTGTCGAACCTTTTCAAATGTTGGTTTTGCAATATTTCGACATTCTTGAATTATTCTCTGTCTTAGTTCGTCTATGTTCGCCGGTTGCGTTTTAAATACGACAGATTTCAAATGTATCATATTAGTTTATTTTTTGATTTGCACGATAATTACTAACCTAAATGTAATGCTATTTGGTATGGCTGGAAAGCATTTTTTCAGAGCTTTCCAACGACGTATCACACATGGGGGGTCACTATTTAAGATTTAAAAGTTGGGGTGGCTGGGGCGCAAGGGGTTTAAGGGGGTGCGTCGCCAACTATGTCATTGTGATTCCCCCTCCGAATTACCGAAACGGATTTTGATTTTTTTAAATATCTCGTTTACTTACTAAGATATGGGGGGTGGTAAGTTTTCAAATAGTCACCCTGTATATCTTTGAACATTTTTGAAGATGGATTACGCCTACAGATCCGCGCTATTGGTCTTTTGGATCTCCAGATATTTCCAGTTACGGTGGCCACTTAGAACAAAACCTCAATTTACGTTTGTTTTTTATTATGTCGTTTGTTATCATGACCTGTTTCGGTTTTTGATTTCATCTTTATTTAAATTTGTATTCATTAAAGTAAATAGAATTTTTTCATACTCAGTGATATAAACCACCATGAACAACAAATGATAACAATTATACACATAAAAAAATGTGTCTGACAAATCTACTAACGCGTTTATTTTAAGGCCTCCTCAAAAAATTATGCATACAACGGTCACAATTTTAGAAAATCTTAAATAAAGCGAAAACTGTAACAGATAGGGATAGGGAATGTAATAATTGATCGATGTAGAATTTTTTTGGAGATTTAAAAGTGCGGAAAAATAAAGCAGGTTTCAGTTGAAAAAAATAAATTCTTTAAGGTTCAATGTTATTAAACTTGACTATTACTTTTAAAACACTCTGTCGAAAGGCGATAAAAGTTTAAATCATTCGTATGTAGCATCATGTCAGTATTATTGGTTTTGGCAGACTTTTTGAAAATCAAGTCCACGGAGCCGTAGGTACAGGGCGCTCAAAAATTTTGAAAAATCTTGAATAACTTGAAAACCTGCTGGGTATGGGGGGAAATGTGGTATCAAACGACGTAGATTTTATTGTAGATTTAAAAAATGCAATTATATACAGGGTCATTCTTGACGAGCGTCGGTTAGAAAGATAACCTTTGAAAATGAAAATAAACTGATAAGTACTTTAAGGGTTTTGGCCCATGATGAATTGAACTAAAATATTTTCAAGATGGCGCTACTTCTGCAAATACCGGAAGTGGCCATCAACTTTGTTATTTTAAATAGGGACCCCCTATTTTTTCTATATTTTCGGACTCTACGTCGAATATGGAGTACAACGATACCCCATAGTTGACCCTTTGCTCCAAGGGCTTCGTCGATATTCAAGTTTTTATGTCAAAAATTGAATTTGCAGGGGTAATTTTAGAAATTTATTATTCGAAAATGGTAAGAGATATTGCAAAACAGTTTTCACTCCTTTATATAATTATAACTAGTGACCACTTTTGATCCAACGGTAACACTTTGTTCACCCCAACGATAATGCGAATCTCTTAGGACCTATCTGGTCGCATTGAATATAAAACCGAGAACGCCTGTCAAATTTCGCAAATGATCAAGTGGGGACAGTAACCTTTTCACGGCCAAAAATGGCGGAATATTTTTAAAATGGCGATACCTAATTTTTTTATTGCTTAGTGTTTCAACCAATTCCGAGCTAGTTGTAAGGTCGTTAATACTTCCTGATCCTAAATTTTTCGCGGTGAATTTACGATTTGCTGATCTAAGCAGTTTTAGGGTAGACCCTCATTAAAACGGCTGTAACTTGTTACAAAAAGAAGACAATGGCGCGACTGATCATTAGAGACCATTAGAAAGACAAAGAAGCATTGATAACCCCTGTGTAAAATGACGCAAACGTTCCTCGCCCTACAATCATCCAGATGAATTCTTTACATTATCATGAACAATATTTATTTGGAAATACATTTTTATTCACTTACAATTGCAGAGGTTTGCATTTTACCGAGTAAATTTGGGTTGTTTAGGTAATGAAAATCTGTTGCATAGCAATTAGACTAGAAGAACTGTCAACTAATAAAAATGCGACACCGAAGACCAGCAAGCACAGTAGAAGACCTGGCACCTAGTTGTCGGCAGGCTGGTGACTTGGCACTGTATCTAGTTAATTAAGAGAAACTAAAAGGATGAGGGAGGAATGGCTGCTAAATAAATGCAAGCTCGATTGAATAGGGAAGTACGACATCATGTTCAACAAATTAAGAAACATGGTGTGGGATAAAGGAAAAACTCAAAGCGAGATAGCTATTGGCATCGAAAGCGAGGACGGAAAAGTGCTAACAGAGGACAACCAAGTAATGAATAGATGGGAAGCGCATATATGGAAAAGTTATACAAAAGAAATGAGAAAGAATAAATATAGTGGATGAATCAGAAGTATCAGAGGAAGATAAGGGTGGGAGTATTTTGAAGTCAGAAATAAAGACGGCTATAAAAAAATATGAAAAATGATCAAGCTGCTGGATAGGCGGAATACCGGTAGACTTAATAAAATGTTTAGAAGAGGATTCAGAGGAAGAAGGAATGAGGATAACTGAGGGATTTGTGTCAGGAGAAATACAAGAGTGGAGTGTGGACCAGAAGACTTTCTTAGAACCGGAACACAGAACCATCAGTGCTACAGCTCATTCTGCTAAGATTATGTTGTGGGTGTTGAGGAGGATCATGGAGGGGGTAGTGGTGGAAGATCAATTTGGATTCCGAAGAGGATTGGGAACCAGGGATGCGATAGCAACAGTAAAAAAATTACAGATAGATATATAGAACGAGGAAGAACTGTAAGTCTATGCCTAGTAGACCTGAAAATGGAATTCGAATGTGTGCAAAATGACACACTTATAGAAATTTTACTGGACAATGATGTGGATTGGAGAGAAAGAGAAAGAGAGAAATTGGAACAATCAAAAGAAGTAAATACTTAAGTAGGTACAGTAATCAGACGATTGGTTGAGTGAAAAGGACACATGATAAGAATGGCAATTGCTCTTAATAAATGCATTAATTTTGTATGAATTAATTAATCGCCTCGTAATGTGTTAGCCCCAAATCTCAAGCAGAATTTATTACTCGTTAATCAATTACTTCCATTCCGTTTTAAGTTTATAATTAATTACACTAGCCCTTCTAATGCATTGATTAATCGAGCATTTCTACAATACAATAACTGCTAATAAATTTCATAATGCATGCATTTTTTAATCATGATCTCAAGCTTAAAGTAAACTCACTGACAATCGACTTAGTCGTTAAAACCGATTATTCAACGAATTGCCCAGGAATTCCAATACTGTAATACTGCATCAGCTACCTACTTCACCACATCTATCACTGACTTGATAATACATAAGTAGCACATAATGCATACATCGACTATTGCCACCTAATCTCTAGTTTAAATGAGTTAATGGAGCATAACTACCCCTAATACACTTTCACTACAGATTAGCTGGTTACTAAAGCTCAAGATTATAACGGGAGACTTTAGGTGCGTATTTCAGGCATGTAATTTTTCTTTTTTCTCTCTAACATAAGTTAAAATTTTATATGCTTAGCTCTCAGTGCGCCCCTGTATGGGAATGGGGAAAGAATATTTCCACTGCAGAAGAGCACTATATGCGGTAAAAGTCTAGTAATCAAAGGCTCGTACCCCGCAGGGGGCGACCACCTCCAATACGCGTAAACCCCACCCTGGCTTTTGAATTACAAATGAACTGGTCGATTGGAAATGAATTTTGATATTAAAGACAACCAGTCGAATGTCAATATATGTATTTGACTGTAGTGGGCAAAAAATTCTAAAATGGAATCCTTCTCGACGATTATTTATAGTTATTTAAGACGATAAAGGGATATTTTAACCATGGAGTGAAAGATGTCCATTAACGAGTGGCGCAGTTTTTAAAGCCAAGCAACACTTTGTTTACATTTCACTTTGATGAACTTCTAATGCAAATTTTTCCGCAATTTCCAAAAGTACGTAACGTGTGCTTTAAGAAATCATTCGACACGTTTTATGGTTAAAACACCCAAAAAAACCTTCACAAATAACTTTTTAGCTAGCACTCGGTTATCCGTGACAATCCGAACGCAAAATATTAAATACTAAACCCCAAAATAAATCAGCTTTGTCCTTGTAACTGCAATGCTCAGAGCTTCATTAATTTTTAATTTTTTAATCGGACTGATCACCCTCTGTATTCTCATGCCTACAATGGCGGATTATTCCTTATAATGGTGTCCAAATTTTCACTGATTAGTGCCTTTCTTATTACCAGTTCTAAATGTAATCACCTTCAATTCCATTCTACTCGAAAAGTTTCCACTGTGACTTTATCTCATGATAAGATAAGAAATTTAGTACCATACAGCCATTAAAAAAGATTGAATTTTGATCTGTACTCCCGGAATCAACAAAATCCTTTAAAGAACGCGAGCCCATTGAAAATTGGATGTGTAAAAGTGACACATATTTCGTTGACCGCAATTATCCAGATAAATTCCTTACCACATGAAGCTTAAACAAGCCTTATTTACTTACTTCTGCGAGAAAAATCCAAATAATTTAAACTCAAAACCTAAATGCTCTCGATACATATCTAAATTTATGCAGTGGAGGGATACAGGAACAGGTAGACAACTTTTTCGCGACACTTTTGGCATTAGTAGGTACACGTCACCTGTTTCGTTTCTGGAATGTAATTCACATTATTCACATTATTACCGTACAAAACGAGCAATATATCGCATTAAAACGAGATCTTCTTAAGCTTCAACAAACTTAGTTGCATATGTGGCTTCACGTAATGAAATTTAAACTTTAACAACTCGGTACAAAGTTACTCTGCATACGTGACTGCCATGTGTGCATATTTCGGTTTTAATTAGAGTAATGGACTAAGTACGATTATGACTGGTTAAGAATAAATTGTCGCGAATGTGCAGGTACCGGGAGAACTCGCGCAAAAGTTGATGTTTTTTTCGTAATTGCATTAGAAGGTCCTATATGGAGAAATTCAATTTTCTTAAAACTTACTTTCTTTTTATTTATGTACCATGTTAAATTTACAGCCGGATATGCGGGCGGCGACGTACAGTTGCCTCTTAACGTATATCCAATTTCGTATGAATCCTTTTCTATTTTCATTTGAGGCTCTCCTTTAGGAATATCTGAAAGTAAAAAAAGGATGTATTATTTTTCAGTACTTATATATTGATGTAATATGAATAAATACAGAATTTTATGGATTCCTATCGTTTTGGCCCTGATCCAAGTATAATTTATATGCAGTAAGCGTTTTTAACTAATAAATTTGGAAGCATGGCGACATTTCCAAATTTATAGGACTTATTACTCTCTTAAACATAGTTTGGTAGTAGTAACTATGAAAAGATTAGCGTTCTGATAAATTATTGCGGATCATATCATATACATATTACATATAGATACAACAACAAAAATAGGCGCAAACAAAGCCAATTAACCCTTAAAGGCATGCCATGTAAATACGGTTAGTTGTCGATTATAACTACAACTTAATGAAAACTAAACCCACGCGTCGCTCGTGTTATTAATTCCATTATTATCTTAGAGTCTACTCGTGTTTAGTTCATGTTCAAATTTATAAGCTCTTCAGGAAACTCGGTAAAGATAGCGACGTAAAAGTGGAATGCAAATGTCGAGTACTTCAAAGCCTTAAACTTTCTATCTTGATAAATACTAATACTAAATTAATTCGCCAAAATGAAAGCTTTAATTAAATTGTAATAGTCCTCCTGTAATGAGTTGGGTGGTAATCCGAAAAGCTCAATAATGTTATGGTGTATTAATTAATAATCTCTCTTAATCAGACGTATTAACATATAGAAATGTCGGTAACGTAAGAAGCTTTGCCATTTTAGTTTAGGCAGGTGCTTCTTGGACCACTCCACCACCTTCTACTATTACTTTATAGTAATATAGTAACATAATCATAATAAAACATAATAATATAGTAGCATAATCTATTCTCAAACTCTTGTCGAACCTTTTCAAATGTTGGTTTTGCAATATTTCGACATTCTTGAATTATTCTCTGTCTTAGTTCGCCCGTTACGTTTTAAATACGACAGATTTCGAATGTATCATATTAGTTTATTTTTTGATTTGCACGATAATTACTAACCTAAATGTAATGCTATTTGGTATGGTTGGAAAGCATTTTTTCAGAGCTTTCCAACGACATATCACACAAGATTTAAAAGTTGGGGTGGCTGGGGCGCAGGGGGTTGGAGGGGGTGCGTCGCCAACTATGTCATTGTGATTCCCCCTTCGAATTACCGAAACGGATTTTGATTTTTTTAAATATCTCGTTTATTTACTAAGAAATGGGGGGTGGTCCGTTTTCAAATTGCCACCCTGTATACTGTGTACATTCATTGGACTTTATTTAGGCTGAAATAATACCAAAGATAATAACGGGTCACCCTGTATATACGAATGTTTTAATCCAATTTACATCTGGTGAGTTACATTAAAAAAAGCACAGAATTGGTTTATTGTACCGAAATTAGTTATTTTAGTGTCTATTATTCCACTTTAGAATTGTATTATTTGCATAATTTCTTGTTTAAATTTTATCATTCTGTAAATTGTTTTATTTAAATGATATGAAAATTTCGTTGTTTAAATTCAAGGAACATCTGATCGTGTGCGATAAGGACTTTATCATCACCAAAGTTCTTCTTTTGCGCGTAATTTTGTTATGTAAGAGCGCTCAGGCGCTCCTTATTGGAGTTACATTTGAAATTGACGGAAATGGGAGTATGATGGTGGCGGAAGGGTGTACTGTTAAACAGAAAAAAAAGGATGTTGTTTGTTAGTCTCACCGTATGCTCTTCACCTCGCGACGGGAAAAAGAGCGCGTACATCTTTGCACGAGCATTTTGTCAAGTTTCTGATTGTGTGAAGACGCAGTTTTGTCACATTCAGAATAATCTGTGCAGATTCAGTTAAGTTAAAGTTCGTGCAAAGTTTAACGCGGTTTGTCCATTTACGGACGTTGCAATTGTAGCTTGTAGCACATAATGAAACCGTTTTAGAACGTTACTTTGTTAATAAAAGTTTAAAGTGTTTCCCGTCTGAATAGCCATAAATAAATAAATTTTATTCTATAATTCAATAAACTGGCGCAAGTGATTGAGTTCAGTGTAATAGAGAATAAATAAAGTTTTCTGATGCTGTCAATAAGTTTTTTTGCGTCTGCGCATGAATATCGCCAAATCATTGTTACAACCAGACTATGGATTATGTATTTTAAAAAAACTGTAAGAAATGTTAAGACTTTTTTTGTTTATTTCTGTCGACCATCTGCGTCTGGGGTAAATGTATCAACGGGCTTGTAGCTCCCCTTATTTTAGGTTTCTTTTGATGACTTATTGCGTATATATTTTGGAAAACATTTATTGTCATTGTCAATAGAGTTCACAAAATTTGTGTAAATGATTCTCCTGAATTATTAATTACGAATTATTAGAAATTTGTTTGGTAGTGAATGTCAGAGGTGTACGAGGAGAAATCATAAAATCGAGCTAGCTGGACAGGTGTTTTGTGGATGTCCGCACGACCATTGTACATACACAGCATTATTTATTTGGCGGCCAACGTGGGGTCATAGTGGTATGTATACAGGTATAGAAAATGATTATTCCAGGTCTGACTTTGAATAAACCAGAAAGAAAGCGAATCAGCATTATATGACTGTGAAGTGAGATAGAATACACAACAAATTAAAAGCGTTGATGCCACTTATGTGTCTTTAGAGCAGGCTAGTATCATTTAATTGCTATTGTCAATGTCAATATTGGTAAAGTTATGTCTCTCTCACACTCCTATAATTCTTATTGTGTTTCTTTCTAGCTCTATAAGTCAGACCTGCAATAATATCCGTACCAGAACACGTTTGCCACGCGTTTCTCAATTTCCGACGTTCTATCTTGCGTTAAATACATCAGAGCTCTCAAAGCTACAAAGAGATCGAACTTCCTAAAAGTTTACCATTCCTCTTTAACTCCTATGAACCCTCCTTGAAGCCGTCCCTTACGCCAAAATATGCCAAAGATACATAATAAGACCTTCCAATAGCTTCCTTCACAAATACCGCAAAAAGCTAAAGCTAAAGGTACTTCAAATTCAGAAATTACAAACTCTGATATCTTGACGTATTTTTGTGATGGTAGCTCTTAATTTGGAGTTGATTTTTTTGATCTTTTTGCAAAAATATTTAAAATGGGAATTTTCAAGTTTTAATAACGTCGATGTTCTAAATTATTCTCCAAACAAATATTGGTCTTGGTATGATGTAAAGGAATAGATTTGTTGATTGCAGTTAAAAGTTATTTTTTTCGTAGTTTACTTTTGGAAGCCGATAACACCGCAAAGCCTAGGTTTCAGAGCAGATTCTACTTCTTAATGGGTATTCTTGGACTCGTCCCTAGGTCACTGTGACATAAAAATCCTCTATTCAGCTTTTCTTGAATTGCGTGGGATTGATTAACGACCGTAAAATCATTTGGTATTGGTAGGAATTAACACAGAAATGATTAAAAATGGCCGTCAGGGTTAACGAACCGCCTTGTTATATGTTAACAATTAACAATTAACAAAGAGCAGTCGGAATTACTTGTGCAGAATTTTTTAATGATTACTCACGATAACGAAAAGAAAGTCATTTGTTTTCCGAAGAGACCGTAAAGGGTTCAAAAGAGTTAAAAATCTCCGGTATTGGACAGGTTACCTTAAAGAATTAGTTTTCGGCAAACGCGAACCAATAAAGGGTATTTTCTTTTCAATTTCTTCACGAAAAAATATTCTGGGTATGTCCGCAAAATAAAAAAGTTGCCCAAGAACTGGAAACTAAATTCGCTACAGAAGTTCGCCATTTTGAAAGGAATTAAGTTCTCGAAAAATGGTAAAGCTAACGCTGTGTCTTGCAAGCAATGATATTAATGGTTTATACAATAATTATTATTAGTTCACTATCATACTGTAATGTACTAACCTTATGATCGTGCTAAATATATTATATGTTTTACCAATCTTAATATGTAAACAAACACATTGCAAGTGGATTGCCTAAAAAAATACCAATGTGTTTGTTTACATATTAAGATTGCAAAAAAAAATATATATTTTACTCGGTAAACAGATGGGCGAAGGTTGATCCTATGTGAGATCTTGTACTAGCACTCTCAACATCTTGACCTTAAAAAGAAGAATTGCGCTAGGGAAATCAAGGCGACAATCGAACAATAAACGCATTATAACCGCATTGGGACATTTGCTTTCCGTTAACTAAAGACAATTTCGTATAAAATACAAGCAAGACCTTTGTACATACTTTTTATATCAGTAAAATTTAAAAAGATTTTCACATTGGCAATTAGTGGAAAAAGCGAAAGAAATTTCCCCGATTGCACAACAGACATTTAAGAAAAGTCGAAAAAAAATTCATTAATTTTCGGGTCCATTTTAAGGCAGCCGACGAACAAATCTCAATCCATCCTCCCAACGCTTCAGGTTAATTTAGCAGCTTCCATTGTACAAAAAAACCAGCCGATATTGTATCTGACGGGAAAAAACTTCAACTTCAGAATGGTAAAGCAAATTAGCTTTTGTTGGAGCCGTTGGATACTATAAATTTAATAGAGAAAAAATTACTTCATTGATGTAAATTAGTAATTTTATAAAGTGCTTATTGCAAATGTTCAATATTTATGTGCATCTGTTTATATAAATTTTCCTGGTAATTTCCATTTATTAACTATTTTCATTCAGTAAAGCTGTTCAGCAGTATTAATTTTAAACAAGCCCTTTTTTAATAAAAGTCAATAAATGTAGTGTTACTATTCCTTCATTATTTCAGAAAATGTATAAGTAAATAACCTAAAGGAAAAGTGATCACGATTTCTCACAGATATTAATAAACTTAAGATAAACAATGTTCATTGAGGTAAAGACTTAAATTTAAAAAAAAATGTAGAGTGCGGATTGAGTTTTCATTTCGTGTCTCAATCTATTTGCGTAAAAGATCACGTTGATCTCTTGACCAAGAAAGTAGTAATAATCTCCAAATAAATTAAGTTTCCAAGAAAGGTCGAGAAGGAAAAGGAAAATTAGGGAGTTTTACCGT